GGCAATTGGATAATTACCTGCTTCCATTTGAGGGCACAGGTCCCTGTAGTTACCAATGAAGACATCATCAACTAGACTGATTAGTGAAGTTAAATATATCGTGAAAGGTGTACCACATCACACGGTCAATAACTCTCTGTGGACCCCTGCAACATACAGTGTATACCTGAAGCCACATGATGAATTAACTGATCAATAAGAGCTTTAGAATGAATGGATTGATATGTTGCTGTCAGGGTTTAAACTACTGTTCACCTGGAGGATCTGTAACAATGCTAATGGACAGCCATACAGGATATATTGAGCTGTTTATAATTGCTGCTCTCAATCATGGCTATTGACAATTGAACAGCATTTATTGAGTTCTGGAAATCTCTCTGTGGATTTCAGTCTTTAAAAAAATAGCTACAATGATATGTACATAAAAGATGACAATAATAATAATTTGGTGGGTGTTGTTTCTCATCCATGTATTTTCAAAGATGTTTTCATGCAGTTCATTTACAGTATGAAATCACAAGTTGGACAGCAGTGGCAATCGACAGCACCTTCACCTCGCTGAAGTTCATTTGTGAATGATGCTACCCTTAAGCTACAGATGTGATTTTAATAACGTTCATGGGTCTATACAGGAAAAGTCGGTATTGTATGCAGTACAATGGTTAATGGTTTTCTCACATTCATTAAAGCGAGTGTCAGATGAATGCATACTGCACATGTTCTATGAATCAAAGGTATGTGTGTTAAGATTGGGCTTGACTGACTTCCCTTTTACACTCGTATTTGTTTTGCTGCCCCTGTTACACCTTTATCAATCTAAGTTTGATGGCATTGTGTAAATCCAGCAGAACTCCACCTAGCTCCAACCAATCAACCAGAACAAATGGAAGTGGAAGTGTTGGTTTACAAGGCCTGAGTCAAGCAGCTGGGAGGGCTAACTCAACACATTTATGTTGGCAGAATAAGGGTGCTGGGAATCAGCGAGTGTGGACTTCGGTCATCTGCTAATGATGTAGGGATTCTTGGGGTATTTAAGCGTATCTGACACAAGGCTGATTATAAATTGTCACAACAATTCACTGAATGACGTGTAATTGACCTTTTCATGGTTTATTAATGCTGATGTTTTCTGCTGTGTGCAGGCTACAGCTCATTTAGCCTGTCTGTGAAATATGGATGGAGGAAAGCACGTAAGCAGGGGAAATAAAAAAACATAATATTTATCAGGACAACAGTAGAATGAATTTTTACATTGTGCAACAGTTTATTTTATTTGCTGAAATGTGACTAAAGGCAGCACATCCTGTCTTAAATTTATCATTACGCCTCTGACAACAAGTTTACAAAGTGTCTAGGAAAGGTTCACACAGTATTAGTGTTTTTCCAATACAATAAAGGATTAAAGAGCATAGTCATTACCAACCTATCATGGTCTTTTACTGGACACTTGGTGACCTGGTGTAATTATAAATTACAATTACATGACATGGAACCAAGAAGATTTCTATATAGAGCTTTCCTACTACAGACATTGCCCTGGTATTGTGCAGGTGGCTCGCTCATATGGCTTGCTGTGAAACTTAATGTTAATGTTATTAGTTAGACGTGATTTTACTGCTATGACAAGTGAAAATGTCTACTGTGAAAAAGGTCTTTATGTTATATAAAGGATATTGCACAGAAGCCTCTCGAGCACAAGTATTAAACTGAGTTGAATTGGGCCAGGCCCTGTCACGAATCCCCGGCCATGATTGTGTGTTTGTGCTTGTTGTGTTTGTTGTGTCACTCTTCTGGCAGTGCTTGGGGGCGTGCCTATCCCTGGCTACGCTCACACCTGGCTGAGGTCATCACCACACCTGCTGCTCGTTAATGCCTGCAGTAGTTTAGGAGCAGCCACACATCCAGTCTCTGCCGGATCGTTGTGAAGTATAGAGTATGCTACTGCTTTCCAGCCAGAAATTCAACGTTGCAACCTTTTGCTGCCTGCCTGTTTCTGCGTGCCTGAGCCATTCACTTTCCGTCTGCTATTGTCTGCTACTAATTGTGTCTCTCTGCCTCAGGAATCGTCCCTGGAAACCAGTCCACTTAGCCCGCGCCTCCTATAAGCCAGCCACTGGATTCCTCACACTCCAAGCCTGCCAGCCAGCCACTCTCTGGATCACCCCCACCTTGGGACTCCCACTCTTGCCTGCCGGCTCCCCCTTCTTCACAAATTCACTCGTTGTCAAATAAACTGTTTACTCCCTACCCCTTGTCCGATCTGCTTTTGGGTTCCCCTCTGAATCCTGACAGGCCCATGGGCTTTTAAGTCTAAAGATCGTCAAGTCTTAGCTTCCACAAACACTTGCATACCTGCAGAGAAACAAACTCCTGCCTACAGAAAAGAAATGAACTGGAATGCACAACTAGTTATATTAAACAAATCCAATCTAATTTAAAAAATTTACTCCATTTTTTCCCTAATGGATAAATTCAGAAAAGAACCAAAATGGCCAAAAGGTCATTCTTGAATCATCATCACCAGTGGCAATAAAATAAAATGTGGTCACAATAGCAAATTGCCCTAAAATAAAAAACATAAACACAAAAGTAAAAAAAAAAAAACTAGCCACCTGATTTCATGTAGAGAGCTCAAGCTGAATATTAGCACTATGTGTGATATGTGATCTATGGTTTGCTCATCAGTAAGCATAGTGGCTACAGTATGTCAGGCTGTATTTAGAGTTTCACTGTGGGACTTGGTGGCAGTAAGTGAGTCACTGAAATGAAGAAGGCGTGTTGTTCTCCTGCAGCTAAATATATCATTTTAGTGCGTAAATTATATGCTGACACATAAGCTTATAAATTAAATAATGTCTATATTCACTGCAACCTTCTAATGCTTGGGAATTAGTCATCTTATATGTGTAACTGAGTGTATATTGGCAACACCAGATTTTATTAATTTTTATATGGTGACTGTGTTTGTAATCAGTACTTGAAAGTGGTGATATATTGCCTGCAAAGCTGGTGCACTGTAATATTCGATCTCTCATCTCTCAGTATGAATAGAAACACATGACGGGTGGCTCATCATATGATACTCATGATAAAGAAAAAGAGGATGCCCTTCTAGTGTTGCACACTACACTGTAGTGATCATATACAATGCCGGGTGGAGGTGTGTTGCGCAGAAGAGCTCCCTCAGATATCATTAGCTGCTGTGCTGTGATGAAGAAGCAGGAATCAGATCATGTAATCCCCTCCTGAGACACTATTAATTAATAAGAGCTTTGCTAAAGAGGCCCTCCTCCACTTAGGCTCTCTGTGCTTTCTTGCAGGAAATCGATTTGTGTCTCTCCTGCTGCCAATGTGTCTGGCGGACATCTTTTACTGTACAACCCTCACGCCATGAGCAGTCTGTGTGTCTGCCGCTGAACCATGCAGGGGCAGATGACACCTTCAGAGCCAGGGATCACGTTTCCTGCATGGTCTCTGCTTCCTGCTGGACTTACACAGCATTGAATGGGATGCTGGTGGAAGTTTTAGCTTCTTGGTACTTACCACGCAGGTTAGAACTTTGACAGTCTATTGAGGTATAAGATGTTATATTATAGGTTTTTTTTTCAAAGTCAGTATGTCATGCTGAGGACCGGTGATCAAGACATCATCCAGGCTCTGAGGTTTAGTACCTGACACCTCAGGAGGAGCAGGTTACACATTACCATGGTCACCCACAATGTTTCCCAAAACAGTAATAATCCAAACTTCCTTCCCTTGAGCTCTGACACCTACATGATAAACTGCTCTCTCAGACAGCACTATACTCTACCGGAATCAAACAGCTCCTGCTGATAAAAAAACTGTTTACCAAACATGACCCCTAAACTAGAGATTATTCATGAAAATATGACATATAAACCAGTGCAAATAGTTTATTTCAAAAGAGTTTCATACTGATGATCGCTGAAGAGCAATTCAATCCGGTTATTTATTTTAGCAGATCAATGCAGGTGACGCTGCACTATCAATAATTGATGCACCAAAGCAATGAATGAATCATAACGCTCTAGGTGACTTATAATCAAAGGCTTCAGAGAAATATCACATAGTTTGCTTTTTACAGCAAAATACAGAGGAGCAACAAATGCATTTTACCACTGAACTTACTTTTGCTCTGGGCCACTGGCTCACTGACTACAAAGAGCACATCCTGCAGAGAGATGTATCAATATGGTGTTATGCACATTGTGTTTCACCTATCTATTGAATTGAATTTCATTGTAGATTAACTAAGGGCTTCCACTGTAGACTCTGCTCTCATTTCTTGTTTTAAAAGACAGCAGTGAGTGTTTGTCAGAACAAATATTTTACAGCAAGACATTTAAAAACCTTAACAAAGGCTGACATGAAGTTCTGTTTGCCTTTAAGTCTACAATAAGCCTCTATGGCAAGATAATAAAGGAGGATCTGAGAACTTAAAAAGCTCCACAAACAACTTAATGGCTAATTAACTGGGATGGTTCAAAGAATACTGAATTGAAATACAAAACAATGGCGTTTGCAGGGGACCATGATAAACAGGGCAGCGATGCTTTTATTTACTGACATTGACAACTTCAGTTCAACACATAAAACACCAGTTGTAGCTTCAAGAATGACAAAGTATTACTGTTAAACACATCCAATTCTGTGCAATTTTGCTTAAAATACACAGAAATCTGCTGATTTTATTACTTGTAGTGAGACAATGCATCTATAACATATGTAGTACTGTCAATACGTTCTTCAAAGTGCATTTCCACTTCCACCCCTATTAAATATACATATATTATATATATATATATATATATATACAGTGTTTCCTCTATGTTGATTTTAGAGCGGCGGGCCGCCGCTGTTAAATTTCTGCCGCCACGGTATCAGAAATGGGGCAGACGCACAATGTAGTCCCGGTTGCCTTTTCAATGATCCTGCCAACATAATGCACCCCCGCTGGCTGCCGCTCGCTTTGCAATTTAACAACAAGTAGAACTATTCAGAGGTTATTGGGGCTGTCCAGTTTAACTCCACATACTGTTGTGTTGATGTAGCTTATTGTCAAAACGTTCGCTTTCTTCCAAGTCGACTATTAAACTAACAGCTCCACCAAAAACGTCACCGCGGTGGGTCCGTTTTAATTGGATAACGTTCAACTTGTCAGTTCTCAGCTCCACGTCCTGATATCAAACATCTGGTAACATTAAAACGGTAAATATATTTGTTTTTGTCGCAGCGAAGTGTCACTTCTGTTTCATGCATAAAACGTTTGCCGGCGTGACGGGGACGGGGACGAGGGGGTGCCGCCGCTGCAAAAAAAAAGTCCTAGAGGAAACACTGATATATATATATATATATAGCCTAACCATTGTTAGTTTGCAAGTATTAATACATATATATATATATAGCCTAACCATTGTTAGTTTGCAAGTATTAATACATTGATATATATATATATATATATATAATATAAAATTACTCACAGTTTTACTGGTAGTAAACATGTGTATTATATACTGTGCATGAGTGATTCAAAATGTGTTTATAAGATGTTATTCTCTATCTATCTGTTAGATTTGGACATAGTCTTCTTGTCAGCATGCTCTCTGTCGATGCTAATGAACAACCAGTGAACAAGAGGAGCACAGCTGAGAACCCCACAGCTGTGGTGGCTTTAGTTTTTGAAGTGGCTAGAGTCTGTCTGGTGGACAGTTTTTAATGGATGCCCTGCTAACACTGACGTGATAGTATTGATTTTAGCTGACTGTTAAATGGATTGATTTAGCCTGCTGCTGAATGGATTGATCTTTAAGATACTGGTGTCTCACTGTACATTCATGAAACAAACACATTTGGCTCAATTTAGACTTTAGCTGTTAGGGATGACATCCCTATTCAGATTTTAACAGGTTAGTTCAGTCTCTACTGTCCTACATTAAGGCCCAATTTGCACATGTCTCTGTAAAAGAGCAAATCTCTGCATAATTGACCTAAAGTATGACAAGTGGAGGGTATTTCATGTGCTGAGTTGTTTTGAAATATGGATGTATACAGAACAAAACACTAAATGGTAGCATAGCCGAACATCAGGTAAATAATATCTTCACAGGAAAGGTGATTTGTCTGCTTATGGCAAATCATTTCTAGATGTGAATATTACGATCAGTTCCAACCTTTTGTAGATGGGAGGATGCGGGTATCATTAACACCACTACTCACTCTGTTTATATTGCTAGTTGGCAGCTGAACATCAGTTCAATGTGTTTGAAGGATGAAGGGTTTTGTTGTTTATTGTTGAACTCTAGCCTGTGCCTGATTGTCTGTCATTATGAATTCCCTGGTGATATCCCAGACACCCCGATCCAATTTTAATTAACCAGACTCGGATGGATTACTCATCTTTGCAGCTTTGTTCCAACCTTTTAGAAATTGCACTAATTTGTCCTAATACATATGCTAGGTATATCCAAAAGGTCAAATTTCAAACTTCAGATAGCCTGCCAAATTTGTTTAATCTTAGGCAGGGTACCGAACTTTTGTACTTTTATGGCACCGATCGAATCGCATCAATACTAATTTCATAATAAGTATCGAAAAATGTCTTGTTATTTGGTACCAAATTTTGATACCAACGGAGTAAAACTGTCAGTGCACCAATAAGCACACATCTGGCTGTCGTAACATTGTAAAGGTGTGCAGGAAAAACACTATGTTTACATACAGAGAGAGCGCTCTCTTTTCTTTTCTTTTTTTTTTTTAACCCCGAGTTGCTCACTGCAAAGACAACTAATGAACTTTGTGCTACTTTTTAGCTGGCCTGTGTAGGTAACCTGTATCTGCTCATCAGTCAGTCTGTCTTTCATCCACAGGGATGGAAACCATGGTGCATCCTTTCTTCTCCAAAGAGGGGACGGAGTGTCTTTCAAGCGGCATGGTGTTGTTTACTGACAGATAAAAGGAGGAGAGGAAGGCACCAAAGTTGATGGTGGATTGTTGTCAGACCCAGGGTAGCTGGTCTCTAGCCCAGAGACAGTAAGTGGTCTCATTCTGCCACTATTTCCCAGTCCAATAAACATCCACCACACAGTCATTACCTCCTTTGTTGGATAAGATATATAACAAAAAATGTTTATATATATATAGTCCAATGCTGTAGAGATATGCAGTTTTATTAAATCATTTCAGTCCGAGTCCAAGTAAAAACTGTTTCTCCAGCTTCTCCCAGGTCTTAAACAGCTTCCTCCTTTTAAGTGAGTAATTGTACTATAATTTATAATGTATTTTATTTTTGTTAAAATACATTTTGGAAAAATGGTAAAGAAAAAAGTGATGTTCAGGAAGTGGTATCAAAGTCAAGGTATCGTACTGGTACCGAGAATCTTTGAACAATACCCAGCCCTAGTCAAATCTTTAAGGAATGATGAATATTTGTAAAAACTCCCCTTCGTGGCCTGATGTTTCTGTATGGCTATAATTGCTACATTACCACTCCAATTTGAATGGAAGTAAAAGTAAATGGGACTGATTGGCCTTATATTTCTGGGCCAATCTGTCTGACTTTACTAATTTCACTTTAATGTGCGCATTATTTCCCTGACTTTTTAGTTGTGTATGTGGTTTCATTAATGTGTGACAGATTTAAAGCGCAATTATGTCCTTTACAGCCCCCTACAACTTACTGTATGATACAGCATACACAATATGCTGTAATGTCAAATTACAACTGCAAAATACCAATATCACACTTTCTTACTTTCCCACATATATGACATATGGACCTTTCTAAATGCCTGCACTTATTAAAGATCGTTACACTAATGAACATGTGCATTCAAGCTACAAGCTAGATGAAACCTTAATGATCCTCATGGGCATTTTTTTTTTTTGGTATTATTATACAGTTGTATTCCACAGCATCTCTTCAGTGAATAATTATACCATTTTCATATTAGGTGTCCCATTAAGAATCTTTTGTTTTTAATAGCACTGCGATATACAGCACAGCTCCAAGGGGAACCAAAAGAAAATAGCAGCACAAGTTTAAGAAAAGGCTTTTCTTTGAAACGTTTCATCTTGGACATTCAAATATCAAACATCCTAACAGGCACCGTGAATGTAGCAGATAGCTATCTCTGAGGAGGTTCTGTGGAATGAAGTAATCTAAATGCATTTCTGCTCTGACACAGCACACTTTGAGCAGGGCCTTCATTTGGTTTATAGAAATGTTGCAGTTGCCAGAATGATCAATAACCCCATTAACACATCCAAAGGAAAACACACTCTCCATCTACCTTTAGGGGGCTCTTCTAAAGGGGCTAGTCTGGGAATTTTAATGGATAAATGTGCCCACTTCAATGTGCGTGTGCCTGTGTATGTAAGCATTTATGGCTTTGTGTGTAAAAGTATTAACAGCTAGATGAATCAATTCAACTGCCTGTTGTACATATTGCATATTTATGACAGATGAACATTCGTCCAAAACCTCAGGGAAAAAGGTTTTGTTTAAAATTTCACAGAGCAGCTCAGTGACAGTATCACAGCCACAGTCTTTCGAAAGACAATATGTTCTTGTTATGTTTCCAAACAGATAAAGACTTCATAAGCATATTATAGTGTGGTATTATATGTCCCTATACTATTTTTCACAATAACTGGTTGTGGTCCAGGGAGAAGTCTCAAGAAGTCATACAGCATACACATTAGGAAGAAAAAGGAGACAGTATTATCACGCAGTTACTAAAATACTAAAAGTCCAATTTTATAACACACAGCTTTTAATTCTTCAGCTTATTCTTAAAATAATGCAAGTATAAGCCAAATGGAATTATTCACTATTTTTCTGACATTTAACAGGCCATTAATTAATAAATTGAAAAAATTATGGCTAAGCAATAATTGAAATAACTAGAGGTTGCAGCTGTACAGATCAGCTACACAGCCAAGTGACGATGTCACTATAAACAATCCAAATACCCCAAACAGGAAGTTTGCTGAACCCAATTGAAAGACTAATGGATTCCACATAGATTGACACTCTAAAGGAACAGAGCTGTTGGGCCACAACTGATTAATAACAGGCCTGCTCCATCCACCGAGATGCTTATTAAAATATGAATTTCAAATGAATCTGTCTTCAAAGCATTGTCCAGCGTCCAGCTGTAATTTGTTGTCACTGAAGCTTTTAGACACTGGTATCTCCTTGGCCAGAATGAGAAGTAGTAAAAACACCCTGACTGGGAATGAGAGTCAAAGATATGGCACAGAAGGCAAAGAGAGCAGTCCTTTTCCAAATGACTATAATGGATTTGTTACCCTTCTGATTTACATTTAAATGAAAACCTTTTATCTGCTGGTCTACCTACTAATGAGCAAACTCTGCTTTGACAGATGTGACTCCTCTTCCCATCATGAACTGAGTGAACCAACAGTATAATGTTGTACAGTGCATGCAATGCTTAAAAATTACTTAAATAAATGTCTAAAATTACAAGTTTAGACTTTTACTTATAGTGTTTTATTATCTCTCTTCTTCAAAAACAGGTTAATGGAGGTCAAGGGGAAATTATGGGCGGAAAATGGGAGAAGACAAGAAGTTTGGATCTTAGCTGAAAGTATAGTTTCTGAGCCTGATGTGCTGACTGTATGATTAGACACAATATAGTATTTACTCAGTATAGTAGTAATTATTCATTAAAACAATTTGATCATTGGGAAATGTGTTGGAATGTTTCTATTATTAGTTGAAGCTGATTCATTACGACAATGTATGTTTCTGCTTGCAAACTGCTTTCAACCTTTCTCAAATGGCTTTATAAGTGAAACAAACTTGGAACATGGAACTAATGGTGTTATTAAGAAACATCCACTTGACTGGTATTCTATAAATAGCATGCATATCAGCTGATGAGTATAACAACCCCTTTGATGGAAGGGCAATTTTCAAAAGGTTTTTTTTATTCTGTTAGGAGCAACAGGTAAGAGTCTGGATTAGTTCTGAAGCACAGTATTACAAAGATAAATGGCAACACACTGCATCCTGCCTATAGTGGTTGCTTACCTTCCCAGTAAACTGTGAAAAAAGTTTTGCTGTTCATAATTAATTTCCATTTTTCTCTAACCTCAGTTTATAGGTAATTTCCATAGTTTGCCAAGAAGGAAACCATCTGGCAAAGCCATTTCACTCATGATTTATGACAAACATAGACCTGTATGTGACCTGAAAGAAATATGACATAAAAGATTAATTGTCTTTCCACTCATTTTGTTTATGTCTTATAGTGCCCATGTGGCCTAATGTATATGGGCCAAACTAAAAGTAATCTTAAACTAAGAGTGGCCGAGTATAAGATGGCCATTGGGAATGGTAATATGGATTATTATTCCATTGCTAGGCACTAAAGGGAGAAGAACCAGGTTCAGCCACTTCCCTCAAATTCACTGGCATTGAAAGAGTGTGACCCAATCCAAGAGGGGGTAATTTGATTAACCAGCTCTTAAGAAAGGAGGCATTTTGGATTTATGAACTGTACACAATTGAACCTTATGGACTTAATGAAGCACAGGATTTGAGCTGTTTTTGTGACATTAATGTGTTAACTTGTATCTCCCTCTGAAGGTAATTTGGACCCTTAGGGAGAGATGAGACACTAGGTCCCCTGGCCTTCCCATTTAGTGGTACCTATAGGATATTTCAGCTGTACATTTATTAGTTTTCTTCTTGTTGTATGTAATGTGGTGTCATTTTTGTGATTCTGTTAGATGAATCACACTGATTTTAAATTTATCTTGCTTTGTCTTTTGCAATGTGTATTTTTGTGAGTGCTGCAATTTGCTGAGCGAACCTGAGGAAGCTGCAAGCAAAACGCATTGTTGGCTCTTAAATAAATCACAGTAAAGACATTCTAGTGTGCGGTGGTTCATTTTGATTTTCTTACCAGGTTGGTCCTGCGACCTACCAGCACCTGACTGTGGTCGGCAGTACATGAGGAGTTTTGTTTAAGAGTTATAGACCTGTATGTGTTTAAAGAATGGCAATCAAAAACAAATTGAGTGTTTCTTACCTCTCGGTGGTTGTCATTTACAGCTGTTTTTGATTTGTGGTATGTTTTCTTGACATGCTGTAGTATTGTTATAGTTCAACTTTTCACAGAAGGTGTGGAATTATTTTACCTGCTATAACATTTCAATTGTCACTCTTCGACAATAGATCAGAACAGTAGCAAAAAAAGGAGAATAACAGATGTTATAAAAACACAAAACAACACACTTTAATGAAAAAAATGTCTAAAGCCTTAGGGAAATGTGATAAAACTGACTACCATGATAAAAACCTGGTACATAAGCTGACGTAATGAAGCTTCATTTTCACTTCAGCTCAAGAAATCAATCAAAACTTGTGATGCTAATAGGAAATAATGACTTAGCTGATGGACCCCATTGAAGCAGAAAATAATCCTACACTGCAGTAAGTTCAAGGAAAGTGCTGAAATACTGAACCGTGTAGGTGGATAACCAGAATTAATTACGTTAACAAACCTGTAAATTTTTTTAATTGGAAGAAAAAGTCTAAAAACAAAAGAAATGACAACCGTACAAACATGACTGCCTTACCTTACTGCTCATTACAGAAAACAGCCACATACTAAAGTTTAAATACTATCAGTTGATGTTAATATTCTGTTTAAAAGCCCTAGACCTGATTCTCTCATTCTTCAGCCTCATCCGACCTTAAAAGACAAACAACAAACAACATTGTCACAGGACTATGACAGATTGTTTCATACATATTCAGAGTGATTTTTCTTTAGCAGATCCACAACATGAAACAGTGTCTAGTTACAGCAGGAAAACAATCCATAGAGTGTGGATCCATTATAAAAGGAGTGTATGCATCATTGCCACCCACAGACTGTGTCCCCTGCTGAAGTGCTCCACCACTGACACACCTTTGCTTGTCATTTAGCCAAAGGGCTTCTGCCAGAGACATGGAGTGTGACTTCCAATTAGTTTTCAGGAGATTTATTCATGGAACTGTTAAAGAAAGAATGCGTTAAAGAATGTGAACAGAGTAATGGATTTTAAATGACTGCACACTGCAACGCTACATATAGCATAATATGAGCTCTGATGAGTTTTGTATGACCCCCAATGTAAATGGCGAGCTTTAAAGCTTCATTTGGCTGATGTTGTTCCTTTTAATGAAATGAAACAAAACACAATGTATTATCTGGTATTTGATGTAGACTTTTTGATCCATTTGCTATATTAATATCTAAATCTCATCTGTCGCTTGCCAGTGTAGACCTTCCTTACTGTTCTTCTCAATCATGCATATTTTCTTAATTCTCATCCAATCAAATAGATGTTTTGTTAAAAAAAAACAAATAAACAAAAACAAACCTAAAGTGCAGCAAATTGTTCCATAGGAAGCAGTGGATTGAACATGCCGTTTGCATGTGTGAGTGAGTGAGTGAGGCAGCTCAGGCAGCTGTCTGGGAGAAAGAGGCTTTCAAGGTGCATATATTCAGATAATGGTGGACGAGTATGTTGAGGTTATTGAAGAATCTGATAGCTCGGAGTTGGTTGATCTTTCATGACACTGCCTGGTTAATATTTACAGAAATGGTAACATCCTTGATTATTTATACAACCGATGAAGCCCCCCCAGAAAGCCTGGCAGACATTTGAAAAGCGGGCCACTGCTCAGCCATTTTGACTCGTAGGCCCTTATTTTTGAATATGTCTCTCATAGTTTTGGCTTGTTTGGACACTGCATTTTGATCTATTTTGTTCGTAAATACAAAACTTTCAAGAAACATTTCTTTAAAAGATCAAGCTACTTTCAGTAATGTTTGTAATTTTTACTCAAATGACTCCCTGTAAAAGTAAAAGGGTCGTACAACAAAGCCCACTGACAATCAACACCCAATTCTGCTGCTGGTTTGCCTTGCCTTAGCTTGACACCAGCAGCATTGACTCCAGCCATGTTTACTTATTAAGTAATGAAAGGCAAGTGGATTCTTGACAAAAGTAACACCTTTGGTATTTTGTTTCTGGCAATCTGTGGTTATGCTCATTTAGAGCTTGCACATGTAGTACTGATCCAGTCTGTCTCTACTGCAGTGTTTAAACTGGTTGAGTTACAGTACATCAATTTAATCCACACACATCCTCACACATACATTTCATGAATACATTCATACTCCGAGTGCGAGTGTGAGTACATATGGTTCCACATTCTGTGTGTGTTACATGTAAGTTGGCTTGGCTGTGTTTCTGGCTTGTGATGTTGAAAGCTGCTTTGGAAGACCGAAATGTGTGCATAAACATACAGCTTTGCTCGTTTGCATGACCCTGGTCGTGATTGAGTAGCAGAATCAGTGTTACCAGAACCAGAGCAGCAGAGAGATACCAGATGCTTTCACAGAAATTGCACTGCTAATGTAAAACTCCCAAATTTGTAAATTTCCACCCGGACATAAATTGCACGAACTGTGTAAATGCACTAGCACTGAATCAAGGAAATGAGAGCCAGCCCTATATACCAGAGAATGCTAAATATTTTTAGTAATAGGGAACCCCATTAATAGATTGTGGTTTGAGATTACAGCATTCGAAACATAATATGAAGGATTTTGAAACTTCAGAGCCCCAGAAAGATAACAGCGGAGAATGCAACCTTCACATTGCAGAGTAACAACAGGAAAAAGGCTGAATAGAAACTAATTTAAGATCAGGTCAGGGTATAAACAGCACACTAGGGGAAAGGTTTGGCGAAAGAATGTCCGTGGCAGAAGTCAGGGGGGTTTGTGTATAGTGGTATACAAGGTTGGTTCAATGTCCAGAGCACAAGGCCAATTGTTTACTTAGGTTGTTGAACCTTTTTTTTTTTTAGATAGGACTTCATGCCTCACTGTAAGTAAGTGTTACATCCTCTAAAAAAAAACTCAGGTTTGATTTATGTTTGAATTTATAATAAAAAATGGTCATAACCATGTCAGTTTTATTTTTTGTTTTTGTTGTTTTGCCCAAATTTGGACCTCACAGTTTTACATAATTCGTTTTTAATAAACTTAAATTCTACAGTGTCTACTTTTGCTTTTCCCTGAATAAAATGCCTACAAAGAAAAATACATGATTTGCTTTAATGTCCCTCCTAAAAATGAAATACATTAAATAAATTTATGCGCTGTGTTTATATTCATCCAATATAGTTGGCCCTTGTATTCTAGCAGATTGTGGATTAGAATATATTGGAGGGTAGAATATATTGGAGGGCAGAAAGAGGGCAGCAATATTTTAAAATGACCTTTAGGAGAGTCATGGAATCGACAAACTCGCTGATATCTGACTTTGAGATACCTGGATCACCTGGAAGATGGTGATCAACAAACTTTAAATTTTAACCTACTGTTTAACTGGCAGCAATTGCATTTCTCTGTACAAGAGGTTAATTATTCGTTATCATCCTAAGCAGATTGTGACTGACTAATTCTCTTTTAATTTTTTCCTACCTGGAAAATTTTAGTTTTCACCGGATACTGCAACATACTGTTTTGATAAATTACCCTGAAGCGGATTAGGATGCGAACGATCAGTCACTGTCATCTGCTTAGCTGAGTTCTGATAGCCTGTAGTCTCTTAAGATCAATTTAGTTACTTGATGCCAGTCTAAACAATTGCCTCACTCATCAAGTACATGGCCTTTGCTTTGCCTGTGCTGTTTTTCTTTCAGGTTTCATGTAATATTTCATAAAAGTGTCGCAAGTGACTGGCGTTATGGAAGGCGCCCATTATATCAAATAAGTTAGCTCATCTCTCTGAAAACCCCTGCCCCTGCCTCTAACACTTTGTAAGGAAAAAAATTAATAATTACATAAATTAAGGTATGAGTTATTAATCCATCTTCAAAAGTTTTCTTGCTGCTACAGGTTTTTAAGATAAGCCTTAATTACTTCTTCATTAAAAATAATTTTTAAACGTATTCTATGACATTTATTTGACTAAGAAATTGCCTGCAGCTTCTCCACTCCATAAACTTCAAGGACATCAAATTATGTTTTCTCCGAAGTTAATTGTTAAAATTAGTTTATATTTGAGTAGCATTAACAACAACACGCCATAAAATGTACCCTAACAGACAGGAAATAATTTAGTGTTGTCAGTCATTCGACACAATTAATTACATTTAAGGCTTTGCAATGCATCACATGTGACATCACAGATGTCTGTATTTACTCATTCTGTCCTAGGGGAAAGAGTGACTACTGGATGTTACAATTAAAATAAAGTGATCCAGTCAAACATGTTTTATTTTTTTCTATGTATTTCAGACAACTGCATATTTAGAAAAAAAAAACATCGTTGTCCCAAACTCATTACATTTAACCTTGACAAACAACAATATGGATGCTTAATTTGACCAGAAACTTCAGAAGCAAATGTTACATACTTCTCTCTTCACCCGTAATCCACAGTGCAAGACAAGTCTCTCCAGTTAGGGGGATGTAACATCTAATGTTGTCTGCCGCAGTAATCGTTCTGAAAGTGTGTAAGCTCCGTGTGGCATTCTGTTGACATTGTTGATTCTAAGAGGGCTTCTGACTGGACTCTAGGGGTGGACACTGTGCCAGCAGTAGAAACATGGGACCAGTATGGTGGCAGACATGATGGAGAGCCGAGCTTTGTTCGGGCGTGCATCTGTATCTGTGTGTGTACGTGTGTGTGTGATGAGAGGGAGAAAGGGAGAGAGAATGTGAGAGCAAGTGTGAGAAAGAGCTCAGAGGAATACTCACTCATTATGGCTATG